CAGTTAATTTTTTATTTATAAAATTGCGCCCTTCACCTCCAATTCCCCTTAGAGAGAGCACAAAACAGGCCATTTAACAAAATCCCAGGTAAGACGGCAGGAGCACCAGCAGGCGGGCAGACCTCGTACAGCCACCCCAAGTCCCCCAACGCAGCCCTGCCCCTCCCCCAGGGGGCAGGGCCACCACCTGGGTGGGCAGGGGGCCCCCAAGGCCCTTCCTGGTGCTGCCAAAGAAAATCTGCCTTGACTGTCCCCGAGAGCCGGCGCTCACAACTCGGGGAAACGCAGATGGAGCAAAGCCCAGCGTGGGCGCTGGCCCTCTGGGTGCCCCGGACTGACCGAGCGTGTCCCCCAAATGCCCAGGCCGACATCCTAACCCCCACTGTGATGGTGTTGGGGGGCCTTAGCTGAGGTGGTGAGGGCGGCGTCTGTGATGGGATTAAGGTCTTTGGAGGAGGAGACACGAGAGCTCGCTCTGTGCCCACCGTGTGAGGTCAGTGGGAAGACAGGAAGCGGGCTCTTCCCGGGACGCCCGTCTGCCGGCATCCTGACCTTGGGCCTTCTGCCTCCGGCCCCGTTCAAGCCATCCAGGCTGGGGCGCTTTGTTACGGCAGCCCAGCAGATGAGGACCCTGTGTCTTCTCAGGAAGACTCCCTCTCCCTGCTCCAGACACCCGAGCCTCCTCCTGCAAAAATGGGTCTGTGGTCTCCGGCCGCGTGCCTACCCCTTGAGCGTCTGCAAGCATTGCCCTCCTGGACCTCACTGCAAGGAGAGGCTTCCTCTTCGCCCTAGGGCCGCGCACCCATGGCTCACTCGTTTATTCTTGCCCGTGGAGCTGAGAAGGTGCACAGGATGCGTTGTCTGAATACCATTCGTGGGAAGTGCGGGAGGCTCAGCAGGATGAACGTGTGACGACAGCCTCTTCTCTCCCCTGAACATCGGGGACGATAACGCCTACCTCTTGTGACTGACGTGGGGTTTGCCATGCACCCTCAGTGTCCGGCACATCAGAGTTGCTCAGTAAATCAGAGCCAAGACAGTGACGAGAGAGGCTCCTCAGCAAACAGGAGTCACAACCCGCCATGAACACTTGTTCTACTTTGTCCAGCCCTCTCCATTCCTGCCCACGGCGGGGTGAGTCCATGCCCACCCAGGGTGCCACAGCGGCGGCTAGCGGGAGCCGTCACGAGGGAAGGGTCTGTGCTACAAACTTAGGGGAGGTTTTCTGGCAAATTGTTTGGCATGATCCACACTAAAAACTGGTCTTACTCGTGGACACGTGTTCTTGGCATGATGAAGGCCAGACAGGCGGGCAGCAGTTTAATCTCTGGAGGACAGAACGTTTTATGGACAGAAGGAAGCAGGGTCACCGGGGTCCCCTGGGGCATCTGGATGGAGCTGAGTCGAGAGAGGAGCAAGTGCTGTTGAGGAGGAGATTTGCAGAGGAGAGCCCACGCGGGGTCGGCACGCAGGGGACTAGACCGAGGCCACGGGTTCGGCCGTGTGCTGGGAGTGGGTGGGCGCAGGCGTAAAGCAGAAGCAAGCAGGCAGGGAGATGGGGAGAGGGTCTCCATGGCGGAGGGGTGAGTCACATCTACAACGGGGATCCCCAGGAGCAAACAGCACTTTAGAAGGACCCAATCCCTTCTTCAACAGTAGTGCAGTTCAGGTCCCTGGAGGCAAACGCTCACTGTCTGGTTCCCTTTCATTCATTCAGCAAACACGCACTGCCCCCTCTGTGGGGCAGCCGCGTGCCAGGCTCCGCACTTGGGGTGTGCCGTCAAGTGTGGGAGGCGGCCGAGCTGGACCAAGGGAGTTCCCACCCCTGCAGGTGGAGAGCATGAGCCCCCCTCTGCATGAGTCCACGCCCACCGGGGACCCCAAGCTGAGTCACTGCCCTCTCCTGGCTCCACAGACTTTGCATGGAGGCTGTTGCGATGGGGGTGGGCTGGGTGAAGACCCTCTGTGCTCAGTCGTTGCGCCTTGCTCTGTTTGGACTTCGCGAAGGCTCTTTCCACAAGCGCACTTGGGGAAGTCAGCACCCCTGGCCTAATGAGCTGTGTCCCTCTAGAAACCTGATCAGCCAGGCAAAAATCACCATAATTGATTATCCTGCTGAGCAGCGGAGAGCAGTGTTTGCTAACAGTGAGGCTGAGAATCGGCTCCGTATTTCCCAACCCACGAGCCTACCCTGGGGTGTCATCAGCAGGGCCCCAGGCGCCTCGCTCCCTCTCCATCCCTCGCCCCGAGCGCGGGTGGTGGGGCAGGGTCGGCGACATGATGGAGTAGAAGACGGTGGGACGCCAGTGTTCATACCAGAAATGCAAGGCAGGCCCCATCTGGGTCAGCCTGTCCTTGTCTGGCTCACACCTGGAGTGTGGCTGGGCCACAGCAGGAGAGGGTCCAAACGGGAGCTGCTTCCCTTCCACAGAATGAGGTGTGGGGGAGAACTCCTTTACCCCGGGGATTCTGTACCCCAACAGAGGACAAGGAGGGGCCAGGGGATCTCCTGGCCTGAAGCGCTGGGAAAACAGGCTGGACCCTCGTGGGCCACGAATTGTGGAGGCATTAGGCTCAGCAGGCCCTCCAGATATCCCTCTGGTTCTGGATTTTTGGAAACACAGAGGCTCTTTGGAGATGAACACAGGTCCCAGCCTCTGAGTCTCCGGACAGGGACCAAGCAGGTGTAACACTGGTATCGATACCAGATATTTTTGCTCTGACCAAATGAGGACGCTGGTGACAACGGGGGACATTCTGGGGAGCTCCAAGGCTGTTAGGGGTGGCTGGAGATCAGGGCAGGCGGGCAGGGATGGGGATGCCTTACCAGCTCTGACCTGCGCTGTTGCCTGGCTGGGGATTCCAGAGCGTCCCCGGCACTTGCAGGAGATTTGCAGGTTGGGCACAGAGCCTGGAGAACAGAGGATACGGAGGGGGATGTGGGAGTGGGAGGGAGGGACGCAGGCAGGCCAGAGCAGCGCTCTACCCCAAACCCCCAGACTAGCCTCGATAGAGCCTCCCGAAGGGCCGAGGAGCAGACTCGTCTCACCCAGCTCCTGAGCTGTGCACTCTGGGCTGTTTGCTCACCAGGGCTGGATGGATTGAATTAAATGGAACTAAATTGAATTGAATTGGGAGGAAAACTCACTTTAAGAAACCAAGAAAAAAGTCAACAATGAGAAAACCCCCAAATCAACTGAAAGCGGCGGTTGATGCGAGTTGATTGATTCAGTCCATCTCATTGTGTGACGGCGCCTTCTTCATCTGGCGGGGCCTTCCCCTCCCATCTGCCCCTCCTCAAAGCCGCTCTGTGAGCCGCCCGTGGAAACGTGCCAGAAGTTGTTCTGGCCCTTTTGCCGGAGAGGGAAACTGCCGATCAACAAACAGGCTGCGGCGGGCCACCTCAATGAGGGCCTCCCCACCGCGTCATAAAAGATCGCCGCGCGCCACGGCCCACAGCCCGCTCTGCTGCAGCCCGGGGGGTGAAGGGGGTGCAGGGGGGGCCAGGGAGGGGAGATTGGGAAATGCCGCCACTGTGATTCGCACAAACTCCAACAGCGTTCAGGACAGGCTCTACGCAGTTCGATGCTCCTTTGCTGTGGAGAAGGGTGCTGTCCACTAGGGGGTGACGGGGACCTGCCAGGGAGCCAGCTGTCCCCGCGACTGGGGGTGCCGCTGCTTAGCCAGATCCGTGCGTATTCTCATCTGAAAAAGGGGGACAGAAGTTGGCGCACGCTCCTTAGGGTTACAGGGGCCTAATGAGGCAATAGTTGTCAAGGGCCTGGTGCACAGAATGTGCAAAGCACATGACAGGGTCGACCTGCTCTTTGGCCATGTTGATGGCAGTAACGACCGCATTGTTTCTCCATCTCACGAAGGAGGCCCACTCTGATTGCCTTTGGATTCCAGAGGCTTTTCGCTTGCTTTTATCCTGTTTATGATAAGTTTAAAACACATGCACACAGTGGGGAGAGGGGAAGGGGGAGGGGCTGTTTAATGAGTGTGCAGTTTTCTTTTGGGGTGATGGAAAGTTCTAGAACCAGACGGTGGTTGCACAGCAACGTGACTGGACTTAATGCCACTGAATTGTACACTTGACAATGGTTCAAATGGTAAATTTTATAAGTATTTTGCCACAATTAAAAAAGATGTGCACAATATGTGCACATAAAATTATGAAACATTAGGGGCGCCCAGCTGGCTCGGTTGGTGGAGCATGTGACTGATTCTTGATCTCGGGGTTGTGAGTTCGAGCCCCACGTTCGGTGTAGAGATTACTTAAAAATAAAAATCTTAAAAAAAAAAGTTCTGAAATGTTATTAACATAAATAAGGAAAATTTAAGTCCAGAAAAAAGCACATGATGCACACATGCCCACACGCACATACCCCTCATTTCTAGTCTCTGAAGGGCCCTCAGAGGAAAGGGCAGGAAATCATGTGTGTTTCGGATTAGAATTCTCTTACTTCTCTTTAAGCAACAGTAGCCCGTCCTCTTTTCTTCATGTTAAGCTTTGACTAATATTAAAATCGATCTACATGCCATGACCCCACACAGAGTGACCCCTGGGAGGCGGGAACAAATCCGTGCTGACTGACGGGGCAGGGCCCAGGTTGGGATTAAATGCCACCATTCATAGTCTGCAAAGTCTCCATGTGTGAGTAACCTCAGAACCAGGTGCGGTGGGGAAGAAGAAGAAAGGGGTCACTCTGAGTTTGGGGCCAACAGAAGAGAGAGAGAAAACAGAATATCCCAATGACAGAGACGATGCATTAGGAAAATCTGTTTTCCTTTGTCTTTGTTAAACGGAACGTGGGCTTCCGGCCACGCTCCAGGTGCAGACGTGGACGGGCTTCTCCGGCCAGTCTCCGCGGCTCCCGGGGAAGCAACGCTCCCTCCTCCTCCAGACCTGACTAGTCAGCAAGCAAATAGCAGCCAGCAACGAGATGTGCGGTGGCACCACTGATTGTAATTCTCTCTCCTCTCTCTTCTTTTCTTAGAGAGCCCACAGTGCCTCGGGAAAAATTGGCTGAATAAAAGGTATAAAGACTTTCTCTTTTTTTTTTCCTGAATGGTTTTTGACAGATGTGAGCATGTTGAACATATTGGGAGCTGCTGACAATGAATGCTGGGGGTTTCTGGGGCTTCCTGCTCGCTGCGGGGGTGGGGGGGTGGCTTGGGGGCAGAGGATGGAGGGTTTGACTTGTTTAGCACCTCGTCGTCGATGACATCTCTCTTGTCCCCCAAAGCGCCGGCCCCAGCTGTGCGGGTAAGGCAGGACTGGGGGCCAGAGGAGCCAGGAGGGAAAGGAGAGGACAGGAATGTGTTCATGGGCGACATTGCTCAACAACTCCCACCAGCCAGAGAAGCAGTCCCTCCCCACCGAACCCCACCACTCGGCACGCAGGTGCATGTCTCTTGGACTTTGAGGCCTTCAGAACCCAGTGTGGTGCGTGTCCCCACCTGGCCTGGTCTCCTCGGGGATGGGCTGCGGAATGGGCTCAGTTTCCCAGTGGTCACCCTCATGGGGGTGCACTGGACCCTCCTGACCCCAGCCCTCGGTCCACGTGCTCCTCGCAGCCAAGCCTTCATCACCCGCCTGCCACCGATCCCCTCTGCAAATTCATTTGCAAAATTTTACTTTGGGGGAAAATTTTATCGTAGAAGTAATGTATGTTTGTTGTGAACAAATGAGAAAATGCAGGTTTGCCGTGTATTTTTAACCCTGGGCCCCCAGCCGGCTTCCCCTCCCGGGCTCCCGGCTCTCAGGCCTTGTGCACAAGGACAACCAAGAGTTGTCCACAGATCAGAAGCGCAATGTGAAGCTGTCCGGCGGCAGAGTCTGATGTCCTCCTGAGCCAAACACTGGAGATTTCTTTTGGTGACCTCTTTTGTATTGTTTTTGCCCCAAGTACACTCGTGCCTCAAAAGTGGGCATTGCCCAAATGGCTAGGGAGCTCTGTCCATGAAATCGGTCACCGAGGGGCCACACGGGTTCGTGGAGGGGGCAGCTCTGGCTCCACTCACTGGTGGGATGGGGACAGCAAAGCAGCATGTCCTGTGCATGACAGGGTGCCCTGGGAGTGGCCGTTCGGTCTGTCAGTGTTCAGTTCGGTTCTAAGTGGGAGGAGATGAAGAGAGGGTACCACATCAGCCTCACGTTCATCAAAACGGTCTGCCCTTGCAAGGCAGCTTCCTTGATGTGCCATTTTGTAAACAGAGTCTAATTTTCCGGGGAAGCGACCAAAGGAGGCCTCCGGTGAATCTGTTTGTAGGTTAAGGTCTCCACCCTCTAAGGGATGATGTGGTGATTTGTCTGGCTTTTGAGCTCAGATTCTTGCACATTTGTTTTTTGAACGGCTTTACCGAGGTATGCACATACAATTAACTATGAGTATTATAGAGTGTGCAATTTGATAAGTTTTGACACATGTTTATGCCCATGACGTCATTGTTACGGTCCAGATACTGGACATATCCATCACCCCCAGAAGTTTCCTTGGGCCTTTCGTCTCTTCCTCTGCCCTCCAGGCCCCCTTCCAGACAAATGCTGATTTGCATCCTGTCGCTCTAGAATGGTTTGTATTCCCTGGAGTTCTAAACATTTAACATCATACCAGATGTACTCTTCTTTATTGGTGGGCTTCTCTCACTAAGCATGGGTATTCTGAGATTCACCCAGGTCATGGTGTGCGTTCATGCCTTTTTATTGCTGAGTGGTAGTCCGTGCTCCAAAGGCACCACAGGGTATTCCTCCATTCATCCCTGGAAGTATGCCAGGTCGTTTCCAGGTTTTGGTCATTACACATAAGGCTGCTGAGAGCATTGCTGCACAAATCTTTGTAGAGACATATGCCTTCTCTCTTGGGTAGAAATGGCTAGATTTTCTGGTGACCATAAAGTGAATGTCAAACTGTTTTCCAAAGTGGTTCTACCACGTCATACGCCTGCCAGCCACGTGTGGGGATTGCCGTTCTACATCCTCGCCAATACTCGGTGTTGTTGGCTGTGGGGATTTTCGCCATTATGATGGGCGTGGGGTGGTATCTCATTGTGGTCTAGTTTGCATTTCCCTGATGATGAGTGATGCTGAGCATCTTTTCACGGGTTGTTTGATGTCCATCATCTTTGATGAAGTGTCTGTTCAAACCATTGCCTGTTTTTTATTGGGTATTTGTCTTATTGTAGCATTTGGGGAGTGCTTTGTATATACTGAGTACAATTCCCTATAGGTACATGCTCTGCAGACATTTCCTCCTAATTCATCTATCTTTCCACTCTTGTAACAGTGTCTTTTAAAGAACTAATGTTTTAAATTTTGATAAATTCTAGTTTATCCATTTGTTCCTTATAGATCATACCTCTGATGTTGTATCTAAGAAATTTTAGCCTGATCCAAGGTCACAAAGATTTTCTTATCCTGTACTTTTTTTAGACATTTTATGGGTGTTAGATTTTGTATTTCAGTCTCTGGTTTATCTTGAGTTCCTTCTTGTGTATGGTACAAGGTATGGATTGAAGTTCATTTTTCTGAACTGAATCTGTGTGTTTTCAATTTTATTTATTAAAAAGACTATCCTTTCTCCTTTGAATTGCCTTTGCAAAAATCAGTTGTCATATATGTGTGGGCCCACTTTCGGTTCCATTGATCTATATATAGTCTATCTTGACGTCCTACCCCACTCTCATGATTATCGTAACTTTATAACAAGTTTTGAAATCAGGTAATTTTTTTTTTAAGATTTTTATTTATTTATTTGATAGAGAGAGACACAGCGAGAAAGGGAACACAAGCAGGGGGAGTGGGAGAGGGAGAAGAAGGCCTCCCGCGGAGCAGGGAGCCCCATGTGGGGCTCGATCCCAGGACTCTGGGATCATGACCTGAGCTGAAGGCAGACGCTTAATGACTGAGCCACCCAGGCGCCCTGAAATCAGGTAATGTTAACCCTCCAGCTTTGTTCTTGTTTTTCAAAATTGTATTGGCTATTCTAGGCCCCGCAAATTTCCTTTTTTTAAAAGATTTTATTTATCTATTTGAGAGAGAGAGCAGAGTGGGAGAGAGAGCATGAGCGGGGGGAGAGGGGCAGAGGGAGAAGGAGAAGCAGGCTGCCCGCTGAGCAGGGAGCCCAATGTGGGGTTCAGTCGCAGGACCCTGGGATCATGACCTGAGCTGAAGCCAGATGCTTAACTGACTGAGCCACCCAGATGCCCAGGCCCCTTAAATTTCCATATGAATTTTGGGATCAGCATGTGAATTGTAGGGGGAAAAAAAGCCTACTGGGATTTTGATCAGGACTACACTGAATCTATAGATCAATTGGGGGATCATTTATATCTTAATAATACTGAGTCTTCTGCCTTATAAACAAGTTATGCATCTCCATTTATTTAAGACTTCTTTAATTTCTCTCATCAATAATGTGTACTTTTCAGCATATGGGTCTTGCACATCTTTTGTCAAACTTACCCTAAGTATTTTTATTTTTATGCCACTTTAAATGGTATTTTTCCTTCAATTTCTGATTGTTGCTAGTGTATAGAAATTTTTAAAAATTTTTGTATATTGATCTTGTACCCTGCATCTTTACCAAACTTACCTACTAGTTCTAGTAGCTTTTTTGTCGATTTCATCATATTTTCTACAGATGATCATGTTATTTGTGAACAAAGACGGTTTTCCTTTTTCCTCTCCAATCTGGATGTCTTTTATTCCTTTTTGTTGCCTTGTTCCACTGGCTAAAACCTCCAGTACACTGTTAAATAGAAGTGTTACGAGAGTAGATGTCCTTGTTTTGTTCCTGATAGTAAAGGGAAACTAATTCCTTGACCATTAATTACGATGTTAGCTGTAGGTTTTTCATAGATTCCTTTTCATCCCTAATGTAATGCCAGTGTGCTGAGAGTTTTTATTGGCTTTTATTAAGAATGGATGTTGAATTTTGTTAAATTCTTTTCCTGTGTCTATTGAAATGATCAGATGCTTTTTGTTTTTTAGTTTGTTAATTTGATGAATTAGATTGGTTGATTTTCGAACTTAAAGCAAGTCTATCACTCACTGGTTTTTTGTTGTTGTTGTTGTTTTTCCTATTTTTCTTTATATGCTTTTTCCTTTTTTTTGGTCTTCTTTTGAATTTAGTTTTTAAAATTATTGTATTCCATTTTATTTCCATTCTTGACTTATTAGTTACAGCTCTTTGTTTTTTTATGTTGATGGTTGCTTTAGAGCTTATGGGGTTTTTAAGCTGGTTGCAGTCTACCTTCAAATGATGTTAATCGACTTCACATGCAGTATAATCATACTTCCATTTCTCCCTCCTGGCCTTATATACATATGTTATAAACCTCACAACACAATGTTATTTTTATTTGTTTGCTTAGATAGTTGTATTTTAAAGAGATTTAAGTAATAAGAAAAAAAATCTCCTATGTTTATCCATATAGCTCCCATTTCTGGTGGTCTCTATTCCTTTTTGTGGATCCATATTTCCATCTGGTGTCATTTCCTTTCTATCCAAAGGACTCCCTTCAGTATTTCTTATAGCGCCAATCTACTGGTGATAAATTCTTGCAGTTTTTGTATGTCTGAAAAAGTCATTATTTCAACTTTGTTTTGGAAGACATTTTTGCAGGATGCAGAGGTCTGGGTTGACAGGTGCTTTTTCTTTCAGTGCTACAAAGGTTCAGGGCTTTTCTGGCTCCCATGGTTTCCAAGCCTGCTGTCATTCCCTTCTTTGTTCCTCTGTACAAAATGTGTCCTGTTTTCTGGTTCCTTCTAATATTTTCTTCTGCAGTGTTTAATCTGCCATTAATTTCATCCAATATATATATTTTTTTTACCTCAGACGTTGTAGTTTATATTTCTACAAGTTCAATTTGCACATTTTTTTATATCTTACATGTCTCTACTTAAGTTCTGGAACACGTGGAGTATAGTTATAATTGTGTTAATGTCCTTGTCTGCTAATTCTAACATGTGGGTCAGTTCTGGGTCAATTTCAAAGGATTGATTTTTCTCCTCATTTTTTGCATGCCTAGTAATG